ACACTCAAAATATAATAACTTATAATGAAAAATAAATTTAATGTTTTTTTTATTGATTTATATAGTTGTATATTTGTGGCATTTTATATTAAGTTTAGTTTTTTTTTATTAGTATATAAAACATAACTATTAAGGAGGAAAATGGTCAATTATGTTTAGCAGAAAACAAAAGTCAAATCCAATAAAAAATGTGTACTTAAGGAAGACTTTGGAAATTCTGTTTTGATAAGTAAACGGTTTGTTTTTTTGTTTTTATATAAAATTTATATTAAAAATATGTGTATAAACAATTATGTAAAGCAAATACATTCAATGCATATACAAACATACATACTTAAGTAAAGAATACAGTTTTATACACAAATGTAAGTTTGGAAGCAATTTATTGTGGGTATCTATGTATTTGTGTTTTTAAAACAAAGAAACAAAAAATAGTAAGACCATATTTTGCATTTTTAATTGAGCATATTAAGTTTTGGTTCGGTATGGTGAAGTAATGGAAACCTGTAGATTAAAAAATACAGTTTGTGTTATAAATGGACAATGTCAGGAAGGATACAAATAAGAACAAAAGAGAAATTCAAATCAATATTTTTCTACACGCAGACCGTCTCCATAATAATCTTCACTAACAGTCGCTTAAGAAACCTGCTAATGCTCAAGTAGTAAGAAAGGAGTTATAATTTCCCAGAAGAGTCAGGAAGATTAGGGAGCCCGGAGAAACGGATAAGAATAACAGGATTCACTGACGAGAGCGAGGAGAGCATATATTTCTGTCTCTATCATCTCCCCTTTCTTCCCATACTCATAGAATTGCAAGTAATAAACCTAATGGGACAGGGCTCAGTTTTGATTAAAGGTGAGAATACATAAAATGCTTTTTTGATTGGTATTTTTGTCGGCTGGCTTCTTTGTAGAAGAAAAACAAGTAAAAAAGCATTGTCATCTTTTATGGTGGAGGTACCAGAAGGAGTGATCCAGACCTCGTGTTGGTAGAAATATTGGGATCTCTCCACATTTCATATGATATATGATTATTCAAAATGTTTAGGTTTTGTAGGGGAGGGTACAGAAGGACCGATGCATTCCATCTCCACACTAGATCCTGTATTGATGGAAATGTTAGGGTGTGCCGTTCAATTCGTCTTTTATGGGCATCATTGTTATTCAAAATTTTAACCCGTGCGGAAGTTACCAGCAGAAGTGGTCCGTTCTATCCGTTCATAATATCCAATTTGATACTCTTTTACAGTAGCCGGCCTTCGAATCAGACTTGAAACTTTCTCCTCTGGAATTTGTGCAATAATTACATAATATAATAATCGTGTAGGTTGTTGCCCTTCTCTCCTTGAGTTTTTCTTTCCAAGACTATCGAAGAACTCGCTAAAGAGTTAAATTCAAAGAATTAAATTCGCTAAAGAGTTAAATTCACTCGAATTAGAGTGGAAGTGCTCCTCAGAGCAGAGAAAATCCAGCAAACTCAATTTTTCGATGTCGTTTTGATATTAGACACTCACACGCACACAAAAACCAAAACAATATCTTATTCTTCTCATTTACACTCTTAAAACAAACTCTGGCCTAATTTTGAGTCATTTTGCTCCCACGCTAATTTTGCTAACAGAAGTAACTCGGAAGTGCGCTTCTACACAAAACAAAAGAGTGAAGAGTAGACTGCGTAAAAAACTCCTTCTCTTTGAGCAATCCTGCTCGGGAGCAAGTTTCACTCTTGAGTGAATATGAACAAATCTGTGCTCTCCGATGATACTATTATTTCAAGGTAGTCCCATTTTAAATAAGAATATCCGGATCTGAATTTTTCTGTAAAAAAAAGTTTTTATAGGTTTTCTGATTTGTGTATATACGTATGTTAGCTATCTACATATGGGATGTTTACATTAGTTCAAAACGACTTAAAATTTCAGTCAGCTGATCTTTGTTTAGGTGTATGCGTACGCACTTTTCAATTTATATTATAAAACAAGAACTTTTAAAACCCTCCACCATTTGAAAGGAACTTAAAATTTTTCAAAAAAAAAATAGATTAAGATTCCCAAAACTATCACTTAAATAAAAACCGTTATATCGGGAATATACGACGACGTGGACCTGCATACAAAATTCCGGTGAATAATGCCGCTAAAATCATCAAAATACCGAATATCAGTAGGTACCGTAATATGGGGGCTATTCGAAAACGTGGACCTACATACGAAGTTTTTGTCATAGGCTGTAGTATCCATTAAGATCATCCAATACGAAATTTGAAACGATTCCGGTGAATAATATTGCTGAAATCATCAAAATACCGACCATCGGGAGGTACCGTTATATAGGGGATATACCAAAACGTGGACCTGCATACAAAAATGTTTGCCATAGGCAAAACCCATTATGAACTCCAAATACGAAATTTGAAATAATTCGTTGAAAAATGTCGCTAAAATCATCAAAATACCGACTATCGGGAGGTACCGTTATATGGGGGCTATGTGAAGAAGTGGTCCTGCATACAAAATTTGTTGTCATAGGCTGTTGTACCCATTACGTACTTCAAATACGAAATTTGAAATAATTCCGGTACATAATGTCGCTAAAAGCATGAAAATACCGACTATCGGGAGGTACCATTATATGGTGGCTATACGAAAATGTGGACCGATATGGTCCATTTACGAACTTAAGCTGCCTAGTGGCAAACTGTGCATGTATGCAAAATTTTAGCCTTCTATCTCAATTCGTTCGAAGGATAGCGTGATTAGAACAGACAGACAGACACACAGACGGACATCGCTAGATCGTCTTAGAATTTTACGTTGTCAAGGGCTGTAGTACGCGTTAAGATCTTCAATTATGAAATTTGAATCAATTCCGGTGAATAATGTCGCTAAAATCATGAAAATGCCGAATATCGAGAGGTACCGTAATGTGGAAGCTATACGAACACATGGACCAATATGGCAAATTTACTGGGAAAATATGCATGTATGCAAAATTTTAGCCTTCTATTTCATTCGTTTGAAGTATAGCGTGATTACAACAAACAGACGGGCATCGCTAGATCGTCTTTTTTAACGCTGATCCAGAATATATATACTTTGTGGGGTCTATCATAAATATTTCGAGGTGTTACAAACGGAATGACAAAGCTAATATACCCTCCACAGAATTGTCTAACAAATCTAAACATATGATTGCAAAGGGTCAACTTCTTAATTCTACCAAGGATGATCCATTCAATGAATAATAACTTTGAACTAAACATTCCGAAGTCGAACTTCAATGTCAAAGACAAGTCTTCCCATGACAGAAGAATACAGGTAGATGCATAAACGCTTGAGAGCATTGATATGTCAAAAAATTAAATGTTTTCAGATTTTTAAATGTTTTCTTATATGACGTCATTCGAAGGTTATTAAAACTCGCGTTTTTACAAAAATTTTTACAAATTTAAACAATTTGTCATTCAACATTTTTAATTTCAAAATTGGTTTGACAGTTCATTGTCCACACAGTAGCTGTATCGATGCATCTACCCATGGTACAATGAAGAGAAGGTAGGTCAACTTTGAAAAAATTGCAAGTATAGAGGTCTACCTGTTTGGCTTGTAATGTCAGAATTAGTATCAAAACAATAAAAAATCAAACAACTTGTTGCATTTATTTCAAATAAATAATTTCAAACCGCGAAAAATGAATGAAAGGTCAAAATTTCTTTTCAAAATTAAGTTCTATATATCTCTTATGGTTTATTTCGCAACAAAAACTATAGATTTTGTCGAGGTATACGTTGCAATAAGCATTTTGAAAACACCCAAATTTGAATATTTCCTGAAAATTTTTTTATTATTGAAAAAATACACATACATAAACAAATGAAGTTGACATATTAAGCCAGAAAAATAAAAAAATTGAAATCATATGGTTGTTCTGCCCTACCTTGAATTCATTGTACCATGCATCTACCCATGGTAGAGAATATAGGTAGACACATCGACACAGCTGCTGGGACAATGAACTGTCAAACCAATTTTGGAATTGAAAATGTTGAATGAAAAATTATTTAAATTTGTAAAAATTGTTGAAAACACGAATTATAATGACCTCCGAATGACGTCGTATAAGAAAACAAATAAAAATCTACTTATATTGGACAAAAAACACTAATTTTTTTAACATATCAATGCTCCCAAGCGTTGATGCATTTACCTGTATTCTTCTGCCATGCATCTACCTATATTCGTCTTTCAAAAAGTAATAGAACGTTTACACATTGAACTGGATTGAGTGAATTATTAGATATGTGCACTAAAGTGCACATTCTATTGCCATTTATAACACAACATAGTTTTTAATTATTTTTCTAGAAACTTAAACAAAAAGTTTTGTACATTTCCAAAAACACTGTACTATACGAAATTGTTGTAGTAAAAATAGTTTGGTATTTTTTTCAATTTGCATGTACATAAGTACATGGTAAATATTTTAAATATATGTTTCACTTTGTTTTTTTTTTTTTGTAATAATTATTATAAGCTTTATTTTATTATATTAATAACATAAATACTTGTTCGTTTAACTTTGGTATTATTCATTTTTTATTTTCATATATTTTCCTATATGCTTAATATTATAATAGCGAGTAAAAACTATGTTTATATGATTGAAAAACATTTTATTTTTTTATATTTGCATTTTTTTTTGGATCCACAAAGTTGCATAGTTTTTGTATGTTTGTTGTATAATTAATTATTATGGGATTTGGTTGTTGTTGTTTCTTTTTTAATTGTTATTTAATTGTTTAAATATTTTAAATGGCATTATAAACATATAAATATATATTCAGATAGGGGTGGAAATTGGCCAGGGGGGGTGGCAAGGTCATAAAATGATTTTCTTGTTTTTGCGCCTCAATGAAATCCACACATTGGCCCTCCACCCCAAGCATTAATTTGCTTGCTTTTCACCAATTAGCGTATTATTTCAATTTTGTTTTATAATTGTTTTTTTTTTTATTGGCTTTTGAAATTTTTTGTTTGTTTGGTTTTAAATTAAATTTGATTTAATTTTTGATAATCAGGCTTAATGTTCTTTATTTATACAACTTTATAAGATTTAATTTTATAAATAATATTTCTTATACATTTGATTAAACAAAGTATTTTGCAAAAACTATTTTACAAAAAATAATTTATTATTTTGGGGACTACATATGGAAACCTTATGTTATAAAAAAAATTAACTTTGTTCTCTTCTAAAAAAAGGCCTTCGGTCCTTATAATTGTTTGTTCCTTTTCCCAATTTGGTTCCTGTATTCATACTTCCATATTTTTTATTATACATTTATTATTGTTTATTGTGGGGGCTTTTTGGTTCCGTCTCTGGTTGTGTGTTGTCGTTTTTTTATTTACAAAACTTGCAGATTTTCACAATTTTTAAATTTGGAATCTTCTTTGCCCAACAACCATGTTAACATCTGACGCGCTTTCATGCTGGCCATCATCACACTGCGACTCTTATACCAATGGGCCGGTGAAGGGGATGTGTCACGATTACCCTATTAATGGAAAAATATTAAAAATACGTTAATTTACATTAAAGCAAAAGGTTTTAATTAGGGATTTTCAAAACACAATGGGTTATACAGAGGTCGCTCAAAGTTCACATTTCCAGAGAATTAATTTTTTCTACAGAAAAAGTTAGTAACCGTATTTTTATACCCTCAGTCATATGTCTAGAGAGGGTATATATCATTTGATACCGTCAAAACGTGCCTAGTCGAAATAAAGGTTTTAGACCCTAGGTATCTTTGGACCAAATCCGTTTCAGGACATTAGGTGTTGATCTAGAGATGTCCGCCCATCCGTCTGTCTGGGAGGGAGTACTGATTTGGTCCCAACTTGTTACATCGTAATATTTTTGTCAAACATAGATTGAGTTCAGAGCTGGGCACTCCTTCTGATACCTCCCCCACAAAATGTTGAAACTTTCAAAAATCGCATCAGGATGATGCGATTTTGCTCCAACTTTGCAAATTCTACTATTTCCATCAGTGGAAGGTCAGGCGCGAAAATGGACATTATCGGTCCACTCCTTCTAGCACCTCCCCCACAAAGGGTCAATATTTTGAATAATTACAACTCTTATAAACTGTGATGTAAGAGTCCGATTGTCTTCAAATTTCACACACCCCATTATTTTTATTAACCCAAGATCTGACGTTAAAATGACATATATCAGTCCACTCCTTCTAGTACCTCCCCCACGAAAAGTCGAAATTTTCAAAAAAAAATATTTTCTGCACAGAAATCCTAATATTTCATCAGTGCTATATCGGTCCACTCCTTCTGGTACCTTCCCCCCAAAGAGTCAAAATTTTGAATAATTATAACTCTTATAAAATGTGAAATAAGAGCCAGATTGGATTGTACGTCTTTATCTTATTCTTCGACGCACGCAACATTTTATGCTTGCGCCATTTTAGTAGTTCTAGTGGCAGAAATGTACTTGGCAGCACTTATAATCACATTGGACTCAATGATGCACACTCATACTTGCGAAAGTGTAGTTGGATCATAGCATCACAGGGATCATTCTTTGAAAAGCATTTAACGAGGCATATAGAAAAAAACAGAAATAAATACCTTAATCAAAAGTAACACTAGGAGGAGTACTATTGTGAAATTCGACTACGAAACCTTGAAGGAGAGAATAGTTAGAAGATTTTTTGTTTTCTGCAATGAGTCATCAGAAGGCTGATTCAACAAAGTAAACAAGTAAAAAGCAGTAAGTTTGGCCGGGCCGAACTTTGAGTACCCTCCACCATTTGGAACGAATTTGGCAATTCTCAAAAACAAAAAAATCCGTTAAAAATTCTGTTAAAATCTTAAAAATAACATTTGCCATAAGCCATTACAATATGGCTGGTTACATTACAAACTTATATGGGGCTATACGAAGACGTGGACCTGTACCGCCGAAGGCTGTAGTATCCATTACGAACTTCAAATACCAAATTTGAAACAATTCCGGCGAATCAAAATACCAAATATCGGGAGGTACCGTTATATTGGGGCTATACGAAGACGTGGACCTACATGGCCCATTTTCATTACGAAAAGTCCTGCAGACATAGTACACATTTGAGTAAAATTTTATCAACCTACTTCATTTCGTTCGGAAGCTAGAGTGATTCCCAAAGACGGATAGACGGACGGACATCGCTAAATCGACATAGAATTTTATGCTGATCCAGAATATATATGGTTGTGGGGTCTAAAATGTGTATTTCAAGGTGTTACAAACGGAATGACAAACTTAATATACCCTCCATACTATGGTGGAGGGTATAAAAATGTCTCACTGGCTGTACAAAAGCTTAATTAGACCTATTCTAATATACGGCTCGGTAGTCTGATGGACAGTAATGGATAAAAAGTGCAGTATCAAAATCTTGCAGAACGTCTTGCCTGGGCATCAGAACGGCAATGAGGAATACACCAACGAGGTGCTCTTTATATCCACCCAATGGAAATAAAGATTAGGAATGTGGTAGTCATCGTAGTTCAACGGGATCTACGACGCCGAATCTACTGAGATAACAACACCGCCGGCTCAGTTTATATATTTGTCCGTGTTTGTTTATTTTTCAGTTTTTGGAGCAGCACCATCCCGGAATGCCGGGATGGATCACGGTCCGAACGGTTTGTCGAAACATCATTCACCATAGATCTGTCTCGGTGCCATACAATTGATGCAGATGATGGGTGCATTTTAGAAATTGTTCCGATCTAATCTGGTTGTGAGACTGCAGCGATAGGGATTATGTTACATCGTGCTGCAACAAAGTAGTCCCCAGCGAGTCCATGTCTTGCAATTCAATTGCAACGGACTCCGAGGTAAAATTTATGAGGTATTAGAATTTATAAATCAGAGGAATGTCTTGATCGCAGCAGTGCAGGATACCAAGCTCATGAAAATTTTAGCGTAAAACGATGCAATGTTTGGGATATATTTATGAAAAATCGCACCAGAAGTTGATGTGGCGGATTAGCGTCCCTGTTACACCATTCTGTTCAATACAGACCTATATTGCTCAAGCTAGTATCTAGTGATTCGAACATGGAATGTATGGGGCAGCAGCCAATCGTCGATGTAGAGGTGGTTAATGCGTTACTTGCCTAAAATAATGCCGGTTTTGGCATGTAATAACCGGCTGGTACTAGGGGATTTCAATGCCTACCATTAGTTGCTGCAGTCCGTTCTAAGTAATGACCAAGGGGTTGACAGAGCAAATTCACTGCTAAGAATTTTGCACGTTAAATGAGAGTGTCCCCATCCGAATACGAGTAGTGTCAGATTTAACCATTGTGTCATCCGGTCGTGACGTGACATGGTAGCACATCATTTACCAGATCGTCCGATTTCATAACCTCTGAACGCCAAAATTTCCTTAACCATGGGACAGAAATTCAGAATTTTGCCCAACCATTCTGATGCTCGGAAAACCTGGTGGTCGAATACCCGAAATTAGACCAAATTTCCCAGTAGACACAGGGGGTTAGTGAATGAGCGTACCAACCTTAAATATTCCAAAGTCAGCGAACAGACAGTGAAAGTCAAAAAACGTAGCTAAACTATCTGAAGTGTTGCATCATTGGAACCGATACAAGTAAGCTGTGGATAACGGTTATGTTACTCTCGAAAATGGGAAGAAGATGACAGGACTGCAGTCGCTTTTAACAACGTAACGGTGACTGATCCGAAAGGGTGCGCTGGCAATTTCAATTACCAACTTGCCGAGTACACCGTGAGCAATAGGCCGAAGCGAAGAGTACTACGTCGTATCTGTTTAATTGTCCTGCCAAATCTACCAAACGGATCTATGGCTACATCTCCTAAGGGTAGCATACATTCTAGAAGATCTATGGCTACATCTCATAAGGGTAGCATACATTCTAAACCTAGCGGAACCAGACTATACACAAAGTAAGTAAGTGGCGCAATAGTAATCCTTCTATTAGAAAATTCTATAAATATTTCGATTGGTCCCTAATGTTAGTTCTGGTTTGACAATTTTGTAGTAAACACATGCGAATTACGGTCGGTCGGTGATTTTGGCACAATGTAAATTTCGTCGTGGATTTCCTTGTCGTCAACGTCAACTGGTGAAAGCCTTTGACGTATAGGCGCTCGCCTCGAAGAGACGGGCGCAACAAAAGATGATAACAGGAGTGGCAGACCCCAAATTATCCGTTCTGCATAGAATATTGCTGCTATAGCCGAGAATGTGATGGCACCGTCGACAATGACCAGACGACATGCCGCGCAAATGGGTATCAGTCGACGGTCGAATTTTGGTACAAAATTTGAAGATATTTCCGTTCAAAGTCCAGATGGTGCATCAGCCATCCTTAATCACCACCAAGAAGAAGATGATTTTTCATCATAACTAATCATCAGTGATGAGGCCCAATTCCATTATAGCGGGTACGTAAATAAGCTAAATTTATGCTTCTGTGGCACAGAAAATAGGCGTATAAACCACGAAGAGCCTTTACACCCGCTCAAAGTCACTGTATGGTGTGCTGTTTTCGCTGGAGAAATCATTGGGCCTTTTTTAAAGTTTAAGTTAAGTTTTTAATTTTGACGCCCTCCACCATAGTATGGCGGGTACATTAAGTTTGTCGTTCCGTTTGTAACACCTCGAAATATACATTTTAGACCCGTCAAAGTATATATATTCTTGATCAGCATAAAATTCTATGTCGATATGGAAGTGTCCGTCCGTTTATGGAAATCACTCTAGCTTCCGAACGAAATGAAGTAGGTTGATAAATTTTTTCTCAAATGTGTGTTATGTCTGCAGGACTTTTGATATTGAAAATGGACCATGTAGGTCCACGTCTTCGTATAGCCCCCATATAACGGTACCACCCGAAATTCGGTATTTTGATGATTTTAGCGACATTATTCGCCGGAGTTGTTTCAAATTTTGTATTTGAAGTTCATAATTTTATAACCCCCATGGTACCTGCCTATGCAGGTCCACATCGTCTTATAGACCCTAATATACGGCTATATTCGGTATTTAGATTGTAACAGAACTTTTAACGGATTTTATTTTTTTGAGAATTGCCAAATTTTTACCAAATGATGGAGGGTATTCAAATTTCGGCCCGGTCGAACTTACAGCTTTTTTATTTGTTTTAATTTAAGTTAAAACAAGTAAAAGAGCATTAAGTTCGGCCGGGCCAAACTTTTAATCCCCTCCACCTTAGGGTAAAGGAAACAAATGTGGCCAAAACCATCAAAATACCGAATATCGGAGGGTACCGTTATATGGGGGCTATACCAAATCATGGACCTACTCATGCAAGTTTTCGCCACCGGAGCTAGAACCCATTATGACCTACAAATACCAATTTTCAGACAAATACGTGAAAAAAATGTGGCAAAAATCATCAAATTACCGAATATCGGGAGATACCGTTATATGAGGGCTATACCAAACCGTGGACCTGTAATTACAATGACTCGCCATACGAACTGGGACCCATTATGATCTACAACTACCAAATTTTCAGAGAAATTCGTAAAAAATGTGTCAAAAATCATCAAAATACCGAATATTGGAAGGTACCGTTGTATGGGGACTATTCCAAAACGCGGACCTATACATACAATGTTTCGCCACACGAACTAGGACCCATTATGATTCACAAATACCAATTTTTAGACAAATCAGTGAAAATATGTGGCAAAAACCATCAAAATACCGAATATCGGGAGGTAGCGTTATATGGGGGCTATACCAAATCATGGACCCATACATGCAATGTTTCGCCACCGGAGCTGGAAACCATTATGACCAAGAAATAATAATTTTTAGCAAATCAGTGAAAAATTGTGGCAAAAACCATCAAAATACCTAATATCGGGGGGTACCTTTATATGGGGGCTATATCAAAATGTGGACCGATATATCTCATTTTCAATACCAACCATCCTAGACACAATACCAATTGCTCTTCTAAATTTTGGCGCTCTACGTCAAATAATGTGGGCTGTATCGTGATTTCAACAGGCAGACAGACGGACATCGTTAAATCGACTTAGAATTTATGCTGATTATGAATATATATACTTTATGGGTTCTGCGAAATACGAATATTTAAGGATGTTACAAACGGAATGACAAAGTTAATATACCCTTCTTTCCAAGGTGGAGGGTATAAAAATCGAAAGTTTACTTTTGCGAAACCTTGTATATCAGTGTCTTAATAACAAGGCGGAAAGCGATGGACAACAGGTCACTATGGAAGGCACAATAGAGGATATTATTTTTGACGGAATACCAGAAAAGAGTTCACTAAAATCTCTAAATAGAAATAATAACTGAAAAGCTTTCTATAAAAGAAAATCGAAAAAAAAATACATTGAATTTAGTCCATAAGAAAGCGATTCTTTATGCATTGTATTGACTTTGTCGACCTCTGTTTTTATTAAATTTTGAAAGGCATTAAAAATCTGTTTAACTTATTATATGAAAAATTAGTCATAATTGTATATATATTTATTGTAAAAAAATTAAATTCAACAAAGGATTTATGTACAAGGGGAAACAATAGTGATTTCATTGAATATGTATGTATATATGCATGGATAAAGGTGAATATTTAATTTAATAAAACATACATTACTTTTTCTACATACAATGAGATGTCTACTACATATGTACAAAAAACTGTGCCACAAACTCAATCAAAAAATGTGAAATGGAAAATCTATTATTACTGGTCCTGGTTTTTTTGCTTCAATCAAACAAAAGAAAACAGAAAATAAAATAAAAAAAACGGCACATCAAGTGCTATTGACCTGAATTATGAACGCTTATGAGGGTGGATAATGTGCTGACTTGGCAAATAATAAAGGCTACGGTGCTAAAGGTTGAATGTCTTGCAAAAGTGTTTGGAGAACAACACTTAGAATGCCATTAACCAGATATTCAAGGAGCTGACCATTTGAGCATTTTCCTTTATGGTGCTATTCTATTTTTTTTTTTTTTTGAGGATATGTTATACAATAATATTTGTTATGTGAATTGGTAAACAGTTTATATTTTCGGTAATTTTGCTCTTGGAAATGTCAAGGATTTTTCCCACGTATGTAGAGAAATTTGCGATTTGACAATTTTTAGTAAATCAGTAATTTTATGAATTAATAAATAGTTTATGGTCGACATTTTTTTATTTTGAGAATTTAGAGGATTTTTCCAAGGTTTATAAAATGACGAGTTTACAATCGAGTACTTTTCTAATCCTGTCCCTTGCCTTTCTAGGAATTTTCTATTGGGAAAAATTCTCTTTAACACACTCAGAGTTAATGCATGGATCACTTGTTAGAAGAGGGTCCTAATTGCATTTAATGCCTGCAAGAAGACTGCTAAACTAAATATAATTCATTGGATATATGAGTCAACTGTTAGCGGATCCTTGAGCACGGAGCCATTGTCTGTTGGAAACCCTTGAATAGCATGTAAACACAATTGGGACGAACTTCAAATTACATTTGAGTTGTGACGGCAAAAACCCTTCAAATTTTTGAGATTTGTTCTGGCATATACTCATTGCTGGTGAATTATCAATCGACGGTGACAAATTTAAAATGAACTTTGAACCTCACATTAGCTCTAAGTCCTGAATGCTCAGAAGAATTCTCGAGTCCCTCTGGTAGACTTATTTACTTATTTACTTATTACGATATCTTCCACCAGTAGCTTCGCATATCTTTTTAGATCCGGCTTGAGGTCTCACGCAGTAATTGTCAATCGACTATGACTAAATTAGAATGAATCTTGAACCTCACATTAGCTCTAAGTCCTGAATGCTGAGAAGAATTCTCGAGTCCCTTATGTAGACCAAAGAATCCTTGTAGCTCCTGCTTGGGTACTTATCAAGGTATCTTCCACCAGCAGCTTCGCATGTATTCTTTGATCCGGCTTGAATATTTATTAAGGTCTCACGCAGACGTAGTTTTACATATCCTGCTTGAGTACTTATTAAGGCCTCTCTCAGCCGAAGCCTAGCATATCCTTGTAAATCCTGTTTGATTAGTTATTAAGGTATCTGGCGCCAGTAGCTTTGCATATACTTTCTGAAAACTTGTTAAGGTCACTTGCAGTCGTAGCCTGATTGAGTACTTGTTAAAACGTAGTCTTACATATCACTGTAGAATTTCTTGAGAACTTATAAGGTCTCTTGCACCAGTAGCCCTGCATATACTGGTCGATACTGCTTGACTATTTGTAAAGGTCTGCCGCAGACGTAGTTTTGCATATCCTTGTAGATCCTGCTAGAGAACTTATTAAGATATCACACAGACTTGGTCTCTTGCAGTCGTAGCCTTGTATAACCTACTTGAGTACTTATTAAAACGTATCCTTGCATACCTTTGTAGAAATTCTTGGAAACTTATTAGGTCTCTTATACCAGTAGCTTTGCATATCTTTGTAGATCCGACTTGAGTACTTACTAAGGTCTCCCGCAGTTGTAGCCTTGGAGATACTGTTTAGGTGTCTATTAAAGTGTCTAGACGACGTAGCCTGCTATATCCTTGTAGATTATGATTGAGTACTTATTAAGTTCTCTCGCAGATGTAGCCTTGCTGTTACTTGTAGATCCTGTTTGGGTATCAATTAAAATCTCTAGTACACTAACTCTGACATATCCTTGCAGATCCTGCTTGAACACTTATTAAGGTTTCTCACAGACATAGCCTAGCCTATCTTTATAAATCCTGCTTGATTAGTTATAAAGGTCTCCCGCAGACGTAGACGTCCACATCCTCGTAGATCCGGCTTGAGAACTAATAAAGGGACGTTACTAGGCTTGCAGTTACATGTTGATACTGTTTAGGTATCTATTGAAGTCGCTAGCAGACATAGCCTAGCATATCCTTGTGAATCATGCTTGAATACTTTTTAAGGCCTCTCGCGGTGTAGCTTTGCACATCCCTATAGAATTGCTTAAGAACTTACTAAGGTCTCTTGGAGCCGTGTATTTTCTTATTTTTGTAACAATACATATTAGGTCTCCTATAGGCATGGCCTTGCACATCCATGTACATCCTGCTTGAGTTCTTATCGAGATCTCTCACATATAAATCCATCCGGTAGTCTTACATGAATCATCCCAGATTCCGAGGACTGGAATACTTAGTCAGGTCCAGACCCCCAGCTTCCCTGTTCCGTGACACATGTACTTATTCAGGTCTCTAGTCGAAGAACCATTTCTAATCCATCATAAAGATCATGCCCACATTGTGTTCAGAATAAGACGAACATTACACAAAACAGCTGTTTTTCTCTTTTCGAACAGTTGGACCTCGACGAGCTACTCCTTCCGACGAGGAAAACTTTTCGTTAGAGAATAACATAAGGTCCATGAAGAAGAAACTAATATGGCCGATTACTTGCTTCTGACCATTTCTCTTCAAAAGAAGACAAAGGCCAGTGGGAGAGGAAAAGATTTAATAGCCCCTACATTTTTCGTAACTACATCTAAATTTCATTTTTCTATCTTTTATCTGAGAGCCTTTTTTTCATATTAGGGCCTCTTTATTCTTCCTCCCGTACCCCATCTTTTTCAGGATGAACATTATCCAAGTGAAATAGTCGAAAAAAAAACACGCGCCTACAATTCAAAATATGCCTCAGAATAATTAAAAATATTTATGAGTAAAATTATTACATTAAAAAAGAATTCTAGGATTACATTTAAAAAAGGAATTTAAAAATTATATACATAATAAAAAAGAAATAAGTAAAATACATACATATGAACATGAAGAGTTTTGGAAAATAAATTATTGGGCCAAAAATACCATTATTGAAGGGGAAAAACATTTTGCTATTGGAATCTTATGGGAAAATGCATAATTTATAAATTTATATATTTTTTTAAAAATATTTTACAAATTTACGGGGAGAATACTTTGAAAAAAGAATCATTGAAACTGAAACCATGTAAACGCCTTTTAATTAGGGACTTATTGGTTGTAATTAAGAAAAAACTGTAGCATACTTTTAGGGAAAACGGTTAAAAATACTTTTGGAAAAAGTAAATACTTTGTATCACAACTAAGTGTGGGGCGGGGGAATAAAATTACTTTAAAATTGAGGAATATCAAATTCCCTTTAAATATATATCGAGGAGGTGTCTTAAGATCACCATTTCATTTTTACTCACCATTACTTCAGAATTTTTATCATTCAACGATTTTTCGCCTTGTTCATTTTCATGATTTCTATTGTCACAATTCGCATTGTGTTTATCTTTTGACTTATTTTTGGACTTTTTCGATTTTGGCTAAAGTGAAATAATGTGGATGAAAATTAAAAATAAAATGATTGTTTGTTTTTTTTTGTTTTGTAAAGAAAAATTGTACAAAAATTATGAAATAAATAAATTTAACAAAAAACAAAATGATATTCTTTGATTGTTTTTCAAACATTTAAAGCCAATCCAACTACTTGAGGGTGAAATGTGAATTTTTTGGGTGTTAATTCGTTGTTAAGCTCGATGAATTAATTTTTTTAATAGACTGATTTCGTGTTAGATTTATTTTTGAAAGAATTTGGAAAATTTCTAAACTATAATTCAGTTGAAACCGAAATTTTAGATTTGGATTGGCATGGTGATTTTACCTGTATACGATTCTGTTCCTTTTTCAAACGTATTTGAGTCAGAGTACCCGCCAGCAGTTCATCACAGTTGTGATTAATGCCCACCGACACTTCAATGAATTTCGCTCCATAGGTACAGGCCACACATTTACCATCTGAAAAGAATTAAAAAATAATAAACATTTAATTGAATTCAAATATTGTAGTAAGAAATATTCTCTGAGTCTTCTACAACAAAGTTCAGTAATAATATAGTAAGATACAGTAAGATAGATTTAAATTTAATTATATTTTGTATTAGCCTCTTTCTAAGCTGTTGTAAAAACACTAAAATAATTTTATGATTGCATAGCATTACAATTGGCCACAAATATATTCTTAACTATCGTAGTCTCCTACAATGTAAGACCTATGGCGAAGGACATTATTTATTTATACTGTAGCCATTAAGTATATATTAATATTAATATAAATAAATGCCAAATTTAAAATGGAAAATGAAAGAAATCATGCTTCTAGTGGTCATCGAAGGTTCAATATCAAAATAACTCACGCTTGTCCAAGTTAATGGAATTTATATTAAGCCGGAACTTAGCACGTTTTCACGTCATCGTCGTGTTTCCGTACGAAAAACACCTATTAGCGTTGCAATATTCTCAAAATATTTCTCGTCAATTAAAGATGTTTGGAGGAATTATCTCTCGAGAAATGATAAATTCTGTAATAATAGAATTTCGTGTAAATTTTCATGATTGGACTGAATGATGTATTTTGACCTTACTTGACAGTCTCTTAAAGACCTTAAGGTGAGAGTACAGGGTGAGATAAATAAGTAAAAAGCTGTATGTTCGGCCAGACCGAACCTTGAATACCCTCCACCATTTGGAACGAATTTGGCAATTTTCAAAAAATAAAAACCGAAACAAAAATACGACGACGTGGACCAGCATAGGCAACTTTTATAATAATATTCAAATGCGAAACTTGAAACAAAAATCGGTGAATAATGTATGTAATCATCAAAATATCGGATATTGGGAGGTACCATTATATGGGGGCCATACCAAAACGTGGACCTGTACAGACAAATTTCTACCATAGGCTGAAGTATCAATTACGAACTTCAAATGCGAAATTTGAAACAATTCCAGTAAATAATGTCGCTAAAATCATCAAAATACCGAATATCGGGAGGTACCATTATATGGGGGCTATACGAAGACGTGGACCTGCACTGACATTTTTCTGTCATAGACTGTAGTATCCGTTACGAACTTCAAATGCGAAATTTGAAACAATTCCAGTAAATAATGTCGCTAAAATCATCAAAATACCGAATATCGGGAGGTACAGTTATATGGGGGCTATACGAAGACGTCAGCCTGCACAGACAAATTTCTACCATAGGCTGAAGTATCAATTACGAACTTCAAATGCGAAATTTGAAACAATTCCTGTAAATAATGTCGCTAAAATCATCAAAATACCCAATATCGGGGATACCGTTATATGGGGGCTATATGAAGACGTGGACCTGCACTGACAATTTTCTGGCGTAGGCTGTAGTATCCATTACGAACTTTAAATGCGAAATTTGGAACAATTCCGGTAAATAATGTCTCTAAAACCATCAAAATACACAATATCGGGAGGTACCGTCATATGGGGGCTATACGAAGTCGTGGATCTACATGGCTCGTTTTCTGTCTTAGGCTGAAGTATCTATTACGACCTTCAAATATTAAATTTGAAACAATTCCGGTGAATAATGTCGCTAAAATCATCAAAATACCGAATATAGGGAGGTAGCGTTATATGAGGGCTGTACGAAGACGTAGACCTGCGCTGACAATTTTCTGTCACAGACTGAAGTATCCGTTACGAACTTGAAATACCAAATTTGAAACCATTCCGGTAAAAAATGTCGCTAAAATCATCGAAATACCGAATATCGGGAGGTACCGGTATATTGCGGCTATACCAAAACGTGTACCGATATGTCTCATTTTCAATATCAACCGTTCTAGACATAATACAAATTGTTTGAAACTCTACATCAAATAATGGGGGCTGTATTGTGATTTCAACAGACAGACGGAAGGACATCGTTAAATCGACTTAGAAAGTTAATATACCCTTCTTTTTAAGGTGGGGGGTAAAAAAACAGTCGGAAATAGCATCAAATTTTAGAATAAGTTTAGATTTATTCGAATTGGTCACCCTTTTTCACGAATTATGGCCTTCAAACGGCCAATGAAACCGTCACACGCAGCCCGAATGTTGCTCTGCGATATTTAGGCCCATTCCCGGTGAAGCGCTTGCTTGAGATGATCGACACTTTGGTATTTTTTTAATGCCGATCTTGCTTTCCCAAATACTCCAGACAAAATAGTCCAACGGATTGATATCCGGAGATTTTAATGGCCATTGTGAGCTGGAAATGAAGCGACGAACCTCATTTTGTAACCATTCTTGGGTGGCGCGTTCTGAGTGCGATGGTGCTGAGTCGTGTTGGAATGTCCAAGGCCTGCGGCCAAAATGTTTGCGTGCCCAAGGCATTTATACACCCTCCAGAATATTTTCGTGGTAATATTCGACATTTATTCTGAAGCCACATTCGATTAGAGCGTAGAGCGACCATCGGCTGTTATGGCGGCCCACACCATCACCATGGCCGGCGCTTGATTTCTGGTGGCCAACCAAAGGAGCACATTTACAGCTGACCTCTATGACAAGTAAACACGATCATTTTGTTTCTTTACAAACTGCTGGACAACGAATGGTTTCTTATCGGAGAAAACCAAATTCGGCAGTTCACCACTTTCGGCCAAGCGAAGCAACTCTTTTGCTCTTTTGAGTCTATTTTCTTTCCATTGCGGTGTAAGTTCCTGCACTTTTTGGAATTTCAATGGCCTTACCCCGAGCTCATTTTTCAATATTTGCCGAATGTAATATTGCGATATTTTCAGACCGAGAGCCTTTTTTCGGCAACTGCGACGCGGGTTTCCATCAAGTCGCTTCTTTATTTTTCGAACCATTTCTGCTGATGTTGCTGTTTTCTTCCGTCTACTTCCTTGACGTCGGGCTACGCTACCAGTATCAGGGTAACGAGCGATTGGTACGAGCCACAAAAGATTTATTCACATTTAAATGCTGGAGTGCTCTAACGATAGCCACTTGTGGTTTTCCAGTTAAATATAAAGAAATCATACTATTACGCTCGAATTCCCTCACGAATAACTTTTTTTCTGGAAAATTCTCACCAAAACGCTTTTGTACCCTTGTAAACAATATAATGAGCTGTCACTGGAATAATTTAACAGCTGTCGGACGAGTGGCTTAGAAATGACAGCAGTATCGAAGTAGGTTGCAGTTTTTTCATCTCACCCCGTAAATATCTCGATCCGTTTATTAGGTATACTCAAGAGACCTCTTCAATGATTGGACAAGTAGTCCTGCAATGTTCTCCATTCAATATTAGAATAGATAAGAATAATTGTGTAGTTGCGATTAGGTTATGTTAGATGAGTTTTTGTAGTACTTAAGAAAAATATTTGTAAATAAAGCTAGAATTGAAACTACATCCAAAGTAAAAGATAATTTTTACTTTTCCCACTAATACACTGAATGCGGAGGTCCAATATACTGTTAAAAAAATCCACGATTGTCATTCGATTTGCTTTATTTAATTTTGACTATGACGGAAATCTCCCTCGTTTTATTGAATTTTTGCATTAAAAAATCGTTATAAATTTTGACAATTTCAAAAGACCCCCACCTAATTATATTCGAATTACTTTTTTTTACCATCAAAATTTCCCCCAATTTCATTGCGAACTTCTTGGAATAATTATTTGATAATTATTCATTATTATTTCCTGTCTTATTAATAATTGACCACAAAAAAGTTGTGTCCTCTTTTCAATTGACCAGCAGATGGATTTTCAATAGAATTATTTGAGATTTATTTATTATCATTAATAAAGATTGCATCCCGCTTTCTCTCCCCCTCTCTGTTTCCTTATGTTTTTGTATTTTCTTACTTACCTTGGGCAGATACCGCACGTGACCGCGCCAAATCAATTTTATTTGCCACCAAAATAATTGGTCGGGTCCTAATTAAATCCATATCTTGCAGATGGGCAAGGATGTTTTTGGCGCGTGTAAATGACTCTTTGTCCACACAGGAGTATACAACCAAGAAGGCATCAGCTTTTTCCAATTCGTCCTGTGGCGGATGGTGGGGTTTTGAATTCGAATTCACATTTGTGGTTGGGTTGGGGGTAGTTGCATAATACCATCGTTTCGTAAACGGCAACGGAAATGATTTTGGGCAAAACGAAAACGAGAAGTAGAAGAAGCAAAAAAGAGAAATTAGAAAATAATTAAGTTATGTCAACAAAACAATTTTTGGCAGGATATTAATTTGCAGTCAGCCGCCCTAAGGATAAATCGTTTTGCCTTTTTCTTGTCGTGCAATTGTCATTTGAAATGGCATGGCATGGATGAATGTTTTATTTGTGGGTGTGCTTTTGGTTCTTCTTCCCCCTATTTTGAGGCAAGAGCGGTTTTGGCTTCTGTTGAAATGTGTTGTTAATGGTGATAAATTATGTAAGGCTTATGGGCTGAAAATTAACAAATTTTGGTCATTTAGAGGAAAAATGGGTAAAGAGGTTTAATTTGGTATTCAAAGGACATACAATTTTCGGGAGACTGTCTTGTGTAATGTTGAATTTGGCGGTTTGAGGAATGAGCTTTAAGATTGGAAGTCCTCGAAAGAAAATTTTTCCTATAAATTCAAAAGGACCGTAAACTTTACAATTCTTAATGATGTTACCGCGCCAAATCATACCGTAAACTTTACAATCCTAATTTCTAATAAATTCTCGATTTTTTGATTACGTTTTTTTTTTTTCTTAAATCTTTTATTATAGATTTGGGACAGTTTTTAAATGGTTTAAATTTTTTTTATTGGGATACTACAAACTAAACTTTATTTAGAATAATACTTGAGATATATTCATTAAATGCCGGGGAAGTCCTTCCAAAGTATTCTTTAAAAATCCAAGATGTTTTATTCAGAATTATCTGAGAAATTTTTGTAAAAATTCCCGATTATTTGGTTAAAAAGCCGTTCAAATTAATTTTTTGAAATACACGATTAATTTTTGGAAAGTCCTTAAAAAAATATTCTTCAAAAATCTTCTTTTATTTGACTTGGAAGATTTTGAAAAATATTCCTTAATAAATTGTAATTATTTTTAGGAGAACCCAGGAATGTTTGGTTGGGAAATTCTTTAAATATATTTTTTAACTTTTCATAGACCATAGGTCTCTTTGGACGAAATACGTTTCAGGACATTTGGAGTCGATTTGGAGTCGATGTCCGTCCGTCCGTCCCTCTGGCTGGCTAGTGAGCACAATAACTCTCGAAGGGAGTATCCGATTTGGTCTTAATTTGGTACAACGTAATATTATTATCAAACTTAGATCGAGTTCGGAGATGGGAAATATTGGTCCACAAAATGCCAATATTTGCAAAGGAAAAGGAAACGATAATCCGATTTTGCTCCAACTTTGCAAATACTAATATTTGCCTCAGTGCTAGGTCAGCTATGAAAATGGACTAAATCGGCCCACTCCGGCTGGTAACTCCCCCACAACGGGTTAAAATCTTGAATAATTCCAACTCTGATAAGATGTGTCATAAGAATCCGATTATCTATAAATTATACACATCACAATATTTTTATTGACCCATGGTCTGGTGTAAAGATGGGATATACCGGTTCACTCCTTTTGGTATCTTCCCCACAAAGAGTCAACATTTTTGAATATCCATGAAGCTAATAAAACGCGAAATTAATATTCAATTCTACTCAAACTTTGAACATCTAAGAATTTCAATCAACAAGCCTGGGGTATACATCTGTCGGCAAAACCGACTAATACTATTTCACTTTTTTATATGAATGTTCAATATAGAAGCCGTTCAACAATATTTATACCCCACACCACTTGGTGTTAAGGGTATTATGCCTTTGTGAATTTGTTTGGGAGAAAGAAGCGAGATAGACCCACTGTTACTTTTGAGGATCTTCATAGAATCACTTTTTGAGTCGATTTATGCATGTCAGTCCGTCCGTTCGTCTGTCCATGTATTCTTGTGAATGAAAATTTCAAAACAATATTTGTTTGCCCCAAGGGGGATCCCTATTGAAATTGGTGATAATCGGATCAGATTTAGACATAGCTCCCATATAACTTCAACTGATTTCAGGTTAATTGTGCACCAAATGGCCAATATAAGTCATAATTACCTAAATGTTGGTACATCCCACCGCATTCAGTCTAGAAGCAAGTACACCATATTTGGAGAAAATCGATTCAAGTATAGCCAGAGCTCCCGATTGGGGGGTTTAATTTAATAATTAATAATAATAATTTACTCGAAAATACCTCAGTCAAATTTTATCAAGATCGGTTCAGATTAGGATATAGCTCATATATATATCTTTATCCGATAAAAAGTTTATTATGCACCAAATGGCTAATATCAGTTCAAATGGACTGAATTTTGGCAATTATGACTGAATTCATCCTAGAAACCAGTACTACAAATTAAGTGTATATCGGTTCAGATATAGCTATGGCTCCTCTATACAGGGTGAGATAAAAAATTTGCCACAAAGTCAAAAGCCATAATTTTTACATGTTTTTATACCCTCCAACATGCATAGTATGGAGGGTATATTAAGTTCGTCATTCCGTTTTTAACTCATCGAAATAATCATTTTAGACCCAACAAAGTATATATATTCTTGATCAGCGTAAAATTCTAAGACGATTTAGCCCTGTCCGTCCGTCTGTTGTAATCATGCTACAGTCTAAACGAATTAAGATAGGAAACTAAAATTTTGCACAGATCTCTCTTTTGTCTGCAGGCAGGTCAAGTTCGAAGATGGGCTATTTCGGTCCACGATATCGTATAGCTCCCACATAACGGTACCCTCCGATATTTGGTATTTTGACGATTTTAGCCACATTTTTCAATGGAAGTGTCTGAAATTCCACAAAAGGAGTCCCTTGTGAGTATTCTACCCTCTGACAAATAATTGTCTATATAGGTTCACGATATCGATATCGTTGTGAGCACTTTACCCCCCGACAGAGAATTCTTTATATAGGTTAATGATATCGTATAGCGCCCATATAACGGTACCCCCGATATTCGGTATTTTGATGATTTTGGCCACATTTTCAAATCGTATTGTCTGAAAATCCACACAAGGAGTTCTTTGTGAGCACTTTACCCCCTGAAAGGGAATTGTCTATATAGGTCCGTAATATCGTATATCCCCCATATAACGATACCCCCCGATATTCAGTAGTTTGATGATTTTAGCCACTTTTTCCAATGGAATTATCTGAAAATCCCCACAAGGAGTTCCTTGTGAGTACTTTACAGCTAGACATAGATTTGTTTTAATAGGTCCACAATATCATATATACCCCCATATATCGGCACCTTCCTATATTAGATATTGTAAAGATTTAAAATAAAATTTAATGGATTTTATTTTTTGAAAATTTTCTAATTCGTTCCAAATTGTGGAGGGTATTCAAAGTTCGGCCCGGCCGAACTTACTGCTTTTTTACTTGTTTTTTTTTTTAATTTTATTGAATGATAGCAAAAAATGTCGGAAATAGCATCAAGTGTTAGAAAAAAATTTGGTTTGTTCGAATTGGTCACCTTTGGCACGAATTATGGCCTTCAAAACGGCCAATGAAACCGTCACACGCTGACCGAATGTTGCTCTGCGGTATTTTGGCCCATTTCCGGTGAAGCACTTGCTTGCGGTGATCGACAATGAAGCGAGGAACCTCATTTTGTAACCATTCTTGGGTGGCGCGTGCTGAGTCCTGTTTGATGGTACAATTTCAGCGGCCAAAATGTTTGCGTGCCCAAGACTTTAATATACCCTCCAGAATATTTTCGCCACAATATTCGGCATTTACTCTGATGCCACGGTCGATTAATACGAGCGTAGAGCGACCATCGGCTGTTATGGCGGCCCACACCATCGCCATGGAAGACGATTGAGTTCCAGTGGCCAACCGAAGGTGCACATTTTCAGCTGACCTCTTCGGCAAGTAAACACGACAATTTTGTTTGTTTACTAACTGCTGGACAACGAATGTTTTCTCATCGGAGAAAACTAAATTCCTCAGTTCACCACTTTCGGCCAAGCGAAGCAACTCTTTATCTCTTTTCAGGCTATTTTCTTTCTGTTGCGGTGTAAGTTCTTGCTCCTTTTGGAATTTTAATGGCTTTACCCCGAGCTTTTACAATAATTGCCGAATGGAATATTGCGATATGTTTAGCTTACGAGCCATTTTTCGGCCACTGTGACGCCGGTTTCGATCAAGTCGTTTCTTTACTTTTTGAACCATTTCTGCTGATGTTGCTGTTTTCTTCCGTCCACTTCCTTGACGTCGGGATACCGTATCACGCTAGAGTATCACGGTAACGAGCGATGGTATGAGACACAAAAGATTTGTTCACATTTAAATGCTGGAGTGCTCTAACGATAGCCACTTGTGGTTTTCCAGCCAAATATAAAGAAATCAGACAATTCCGCTTGAACTCCATCACGAATAATTTGTTTTCTGGAAAATTCTCATTAAAATGCTTTTGTACGCTTATAAACAATTTAATGAGCTGTCACTGGAATAATTTTAACAGCTTTCGGACGAGTGGCTTAGAAAGGACAGCAGTCTGAAATTGGTTGCAGTTTTTTCATCTTACCCTGTATATATTCTTTTCGATTTAGGGTTTAAAGTCCCTCACAAGCGCAATATGCACTCCACAATAATGATCTTTGGTACCAGATATCAGATACAGCTCTGAAATAAGTGTTTAAAATTATGTCAAGATAGGCTCAGTTTTGGATATAGCTCCCACATATATGTTCAACCGATTTCGTGTTAATTGTACACCAAATGACTAATATCGGCCAAATGGTATAAATCTTGGCATTTCCGATGGAATTCAGCCCAGAAGCAAGTACTTCAAATTATTGTGAAAATAGGTTTAGTTATAACTATAGTTCCCATATTTATGTTTTATCCGATTTGGTGTTAAAGTCCCTCACATGCGTAATATGCACCACACAACAATGATATTTGATATCTGCCATCAAATACAGCTCGAAACTACCTCTGCCT